GTTACCTTCCACATTCTGACCTTCTCCGGCTTGGATATTCGTTCCAGCATATTCAAGCACTCGTCCTTCAGGAATCGACATCATTGAGGACGCAGAACTTTCCCTAGAGGAATCCTGCGTCCCGGACGTGGTCCCATGTGAATAGTCCTCCGAGGATCCAGACGGACCCACCACACTCGGCACAGAGTCAGAAATTCCACTCGAACCAGAGTCTTTAATCTTCAGCGCTTGACGGCTGCATCCAAACTCGAATTCCGAGATGGTGATGAGGAGCTCGATGACCGCATGGAGACACTGGCCATTGGCGTCGACGGAGCATTATGAGGTCGCTTGACCTCAGGCTTGCCATCTGACGACGACGCCACAAAACTCCTCGCGGTCCGGACTCCAGTCACTCTGAATCGTGACGAAAACTCTGTTCCCAGAAGGCTGGCTTCCGCATCCGTTATTGGCGAATCTCCTAGGGCTTCCGATTTCAGAGACGTAGACTCCGGTTCCGGACCTGGTGTCACCTCGCAGAGCACACCCGTCGTGAGTTTCTTCCACTCGATGAACTCCACAGCGAACAAGCACTGGATAGTCTCCGTCATGAAACGGATTTGGCCCAGGCCAACATTCATAGCGTGGGTCCTGAACCATTCCAAGACAGCGTTGTTGAACTGGAATCCTGCTTCGAAAAACAAAGTCTGAAGCACAGCGGTGCACTGGCGGGCTCCGAGCAGGGTGACCGGGACTTGGATTGCTACCAGGTCTTGAACACGTCTGAAACCACGGCGTTCTGGGCGTAACTCGGAAATCCAGGCTTCGTCCCAGTTGTCCAGGCAAGATTGCTGGAGTACAAGGTCAGAAACGGCCTTCGCCTTGGCCGCCTCAAACCACGATGCGTAATCTGGTACTTCAGACCACGCGTACACCACTTGGGGTGGAAAGACTCGTCCAGAGGAAACTTTCTCCCAGCGGTGCACTTGGTGTGCGATGTAGGCTTTCGACAACGCGTCCGCTTGGCTGGACTCTGGGGCAGCCCGACGCCGTCGACAATTTGACAGTTTCGTCACGCTATGCGTCAGCCGCGGAGATGAATCCGACACTTCCTCGGAGCCACCGCGACAGATGTCCCTAGGACCCTCTGGGGCATCAATACTGGAGGCGAGATCCAAGATCCGCCGCTCTAGTCCAGCTAGAAGCAGTCACCGTGATAATGGATCCGCACCAACGGATCAGGCCACAGCCACCGAGAGTTCAGATCGATCAGTTGGTACCTTGCAGAAGTTCTTCAATGCTGCAATGGACCGATATCTGGCCGAAGAACGTGAGGCGAACAAAGATCCAGCTCCTATACGTCCACAGCATCATGGATCACAAGACGTCGAGATGGAGTACATTCGATCTTCCGATCATGGATCCCGCTGGGAGTACGCCCTGGACGATGTAGACTTTCCCACCTCGGCACAAGCCACCATGGCCTCCGCTGCTGTTGGATCGATATGTTCCACCATGATCCAACGAGTCCGGGTCTCGGCGATCTCGGATCTCAAGAAGTTCACTGGCAAGGATCCAGACGAAGATCGCGCGCGAGCGTGGATCAGCAAAGTTAAATCTGCGTTCATGCGAGATCAAGCGTCAGATGACGAAATGTGCTTGGACTTCGCAGATCTTCTCGCTGGATCCGCGAAGAACTGGTATCGCCAGCTGAGTAGATCCACCCGCAACAAATGGAGTGATCTACTACGAAGTTTCCAGATCCAGTACTGCGGACTTGGAGTATCGGTAGCGAGACAATACTACCATACGCGACGCAGATCCGACGAGTCGCCACTGGATTACTTGTATCGGCTCAATGTAGCGGGATTCCGCGCAAGATTGAAGATCAAGGATGGCAGCGCAAAGGAACGACGTGAACATGTGGATCATTACATCGAGACGCTTGAGGATCAAGATCTAGCAGAATGGTTAACCCTGTTACGGTTGACTGACGCGGATGATCTTGAAGAAGTCCTCCGCGCTCGAGATCGGGCGAAGAACGGTCAAAAGAAGGCCGTGTTCGGATCCAACAAGTACCAGCAGAAGCCAACCAACACCGCCCCGTCAGCCCCAGCGTAACAAGTGCACGCGATCCAGATTCAAGCTAATGACTCTGAATCAGGCAGCGAGTATGATGGATCGGGCGGATCTGACTCTGACATCGACAGTCATCGGAGGATCTTCCTTGCCGCGAGCGAAGATGTCACCCCGAAGGTGGAGAAAGAGTCGGCGAACCTGGATCCTTCCACGACTTCCGGACCGTGATCATGGCCATCAAGATCACAACTCGACGATCCACGGTAGTGGTTTTAACCGCGACTGATGCTCGCACTGTGGATCTAGAAAACACAAGCAAGAGAGGACATCCCTCAGATCACTGTCTCTTCGTGTGTCGTGGATGTGGAGAACTGCATGACATTGGGAAATGTCCGATGGAAGAGTTCTATAACCAGATCCGTCAGTGGTTTAACCCCACGAAGCACATGGGTATGCTACCCGAAGCTGCGGAGAAGATGTTAAACTAGGACGCTCGTCGGGGTGGAATCCGATACAAGCCTAGCGTTCTAGATACTGCATCTATGCATTTGTGAACGAGACATCGGTAGATCAGGTTAGTAAACGACCAGATCTACACGGTAATACATGTGATCTGCATGGGAAACGCTCCTTCGCAATTTCAAGTCTTCGCCAAGTCGACGGATATGCCAGATCCGAAGTCACCATGAGCGTGGATATCGAACCAGGAGAATCACGAGGTTATTGGAGACAGCAGGACCCAGATCTATGGTTTAAACCCACAGACCATGAAGTTACTCCGGAGATCAGGAGGCCTAGCAAGATCGCGGAGTATCGACGGTCAACGGTCATGGATCTACTACCGGGAGAGTCCCGTGGTTACTGAAAACATCATTCTCCAGGTAAATGGTTTCGTCAAGCGAAGATCACAGGCAAGATCAACAATGAGAAGGCGATCTTACTCCTAGATACCGGCGCCGAGGTGTCCATCGTGGACACCGCCTTTGCTCGTAAGGTTGGATGCTATATCGACTCGAGTCAGATCCAGGACTGTGTGGGAATTGGTGACAATGTGTACCGGACAGAAGGAAGAACCCGGATCAAGGTGACTCTCGCTAGATCACTGGTGTATTTCTTCGATATCTGGGTTGGTGATCTGACTGATCAACAAGCTATACTCGGTATGGACTTCATGGTTCCAGCCGGGATCCGCCTGGACCTAGCTCATGGGTCGATCAGTTTGCCGGATGAAGTCCGGATCCAGCTTAGCGGGAGACGGCAGCTTTATAGCGACAAGGCGAAGATCGTCAACGTCGGCCAATATCTTCGGATCCAAGCAGGAGAGTCGGTGGGACTGCCATTGCGCCTGAGATCGTCGATCCACGACAAGTTGTGGGTCACGCGTGGGGATCGATGGGTACCAACAATATCCGATGGACCGGGGAGGACGAAGTATATCTCGATCGCCAACATCGGGGACGAGGTGTTGATCCTGCATCAAGACCAACGCATCGGGATCTGGCTGGCCGGAGCTCATGTGCCACGAATACCAGGTTTCATCTCGATCGGCTCTCGGCGTTACATGGAGTGGCAGAATCTAGCATTGGAAGCCACGACAGACGCTCGATCCGAAGAAATGGAGGTCAAGATCCCGCTGGGGCTTGCAGTGGAGCGATCTGAATATGCAACTCCGCGCGCAATACTCCAGAGACCGAAGACGACGTCGATCCGGTATCGGAAAGTCGAGGCGAGTCAGGATCAAGAAATTTCTGACTGCCTACCCTCGGACAACTCGCCGTCGGACAAAACACCACCGGAAGTTCGACCGTTGGATCTAACGTCTGTTGCAAGCGAGGAGTCGGATCTGTCGTCTATCACAGACGAAGACTCTATACCGCATGCTGTAACGGTCAAGGAGGCGCCAGAAGATCTCGATCAAGTGACGTCAGGCGTGTGGGCGACTAATCCATAGTCGGAGAAAACTACAAGCGTAGTGGAAATGCGAGAAGAAGGAGCCCGAGACGGAATTGAGGTGCCAGTCAGGATCAACTACATTCGAGAGGTCAGGATCAAGGAACATCACCGTCGAAATACGGTGGATCAGATCCGTCATCAATGACGAGTGTACAATCTGGGACGGGACATGTGGCCAGTGATCCGTTGAACGGCAAGTGTGTTACGTCTATGTCGCAAAAAACGGACATGGACTTACCACCTGCTATTGAAGATCGACCAGACACGTCGGATCTGGATCTCACCTGGGACTCAGATCAAGATTATGATGAATGCGTGTACTACCATGAAGAAAGTGATCTGTACGCGGAAGATGTCGACGGTCAGATGGCGGTACTGCCAGAAGTGTCGGTGACGACAGTAGATGTGAAGATCGAGGACATTCAGCTATGTGGATCTGATAACCAGACCCCAGAAGAAATTGAGCGACTTTGTCAGAAGATCTGGAAGTTCCGACACCTCTTGATCGGCAAAGGAAATGCCCTTCCGCCGTCGGCTAGAGGTGTGGTGTGCGATATCGACGTCGGAGGAGCGAAGCCTATCGCCCTGAAATGTCGTAAGTTGCGGATCCAGTTCAGGGAGAAGCTGGCAGACTTGATCAAGGGTCTATTGTCCGCCAAGATGATCAACTACTCTAGATCACCGTGGGCTTCCCTGATCGTGGTGATCATCAAGAAGAATGGAGTGGATATCAGGCTATGCATCGATTATCGACTGGTTAATAGTCTAACTCAGTTGATGGTATACCCACTGCCCTTGATCAACGACCTACTCAAGGATCTGGAGTCGATAGGATATGGCGAGCGGATTTTGGGTAGTGAAGATGACGGATCGTGCTCGTTGGATCTCGGCTTTTATCACTCCGTTTGGGTTATTTGAGTGGAATCGAATGCCTTTTGGCTTGATAAATGCGCCCCAGATCTATCAACGTATAATCGACAACGCGCTATATGAATTCACCCAATGAATTCACCCGGATCCTGAAGTCTGAAGATCACGGAAGTACTCTGGATGTGTTTGAAGACGGGGAACCGGTGGATCCAGGCAAGCCATCGGTGCTTGGTCGCAGATCATATGTCGATGACATCCTAATCCCCGCCAACAACTGGGATCAAACATGTGATCGAGTCGAAGGTTTACTCGAAGCGTGTAATAAGTGGAATTGGTCGATCAGTGTGGTTAAGAGTTTTGGGGGGAATGCCTAAGGTGGAATATCTCGGGCATAAGGTCTCTTACAATGGACTAGAGGCGAATCCGAAAGATCTGTCTGCATTGACTGATCTAGCATTTCCAGGATCACTCAGAGCTATGCAGTCATTTTTGGGAAGTCTGAACTAATATAGCCGATTTATCAAAGACTACGCGATCTACGCGTCAGTCCTGTATGAATTGCGAGAAATCGACTTTGTTGCAATGATGAGGGAGGCTACCCAAGCGCGGATCTAACAAGTACTGGAAGTGGAGGATGCAGATCAAGGATCGCAGGGAGATCGGGGTGTCGACCACCGAAAGGCCTTGGATCTGGAGGCGCCAAATTCTACTGAGGTGGATCCGCGTTGGATCCATGCCCATCGATCCTTCAGTGTGCTTAAAACCAAGATCGCTACCACTCCGATCTTACGGCATTTCGATCCAGATCAGAGAGCCACGGTTGTGGTGTATGCTAGCGATTGGGCCATTTCGGGATCATTGATGCAGGAATATGACCAGATCTACTACCCTGTGATGTTCGCACTCTGAAGTCGAATGAGCTAAACAATGGCATCGCGGAGAAAGAGGTATTAGCCCTTCCGAGGATCCTGGATCTTAACCACAATGCACTGGTCGGACGCCCGATCCACGTGCTGACCCGACACTCGACATTGGCGTGGCTCTTCAGATCCACAGCCCTACAGGGACGTCTGGGACAGTGGGCTGCTCTGTTGTCGCCATGGACTCTCGAGATCACCAAGTGTGTCAAGGAGAGGACGAGATCTTAGGATCATTGGCGGCCAGCATTACCCCTAGATCCGAGGTGGATAAGGCATTAACCTCTATTGCCCCAAAAAAGGAGCCAAGACGCAAGATCCAGGCTCCGACCCTCACCATTGGACGCGGTGAGGATCTATACGTCGTTAGTTTCGACGGATCTGCTCGTGTCAAGAGAGGTGGAGGCGCATACAGCGCGATATTGTGGCAATTGCCCTAATCGAGGGTGTTGAAGGCTAGATCGGGGTACGCCGAGGGCTTGACGGTGAACGAGGCGGAATATCATGGGCTGTTGCTATGTTTGGATCTGTTGGAAGATCTGGATCCACGACGTCTGGTGATCTGTGGAGGCTCAAACCTGGTGATCCGACAAGTACGAGGTGAGATCGATTGTAAGGCACCGGGTTTGACATTGTTGGGCCAGCGGGCTTTGTATCGACTCCGCGCTTGGCCGGATCACGAGTTATTGCATGTTAAGCGAGATTGGAATGGGAGTGCCGACAGCCTAGCAAGTGCCGCACTACAACGACAATGCGGGGTCGGGGTTGAGACTGAAGAGGAGACCCAGGATATAGTGACCTTGAACCGGTTGAATGAGATCCTGATAATGAAGACCGAAGACGAGATCGCATAGATATCTGCCGTAACGACCCGATATAAGACTAGATCTGGAGTGCGTACCGAATCAGATCCAGACTCATTACGTGAGGAAGTTGCGAGAAAACTGAGGATCGAGCGGATCAGGCAAGCACAGGATGAGGAGTCGTGGAACTCGGTCCTGAAGAAGTATTTGGTTGGAGAGATCCGGGATCTGACATAAGAGGATGCTAAGGTGTTCGGGTCTATTGCTATGAATTACGAAGTGGACCAGCCAGATCTACTCTTCTATTGCCCGACAACTAAGGAGGCAGCTGCGGATCGAGACAAGTTGATGCGATTGGTAATAATTGAGACGCTCCAACAGGACATTTTGCATCGCTATCATACGAGTTTGCAGGGTGGTCATCAACGAATTGGCCGGACTTATGATCGGATCCGCGATCACTTCCACTGGAGAGGACTGTACAAGAGTGTACAACGATATGTGGGAGAATGTGTTGATTGTGAAACAGGCAAAGGACAACCTCGGATCCAGGGTGAGTCACCGGGTAACCTTCAGGCGACATACCCATTCCAGATCATTGCCATGGATCACATACCTTCGCTGCCTAGATCCTCCAATGGCAACACCGAATTTGTTGATCTTTGTGGATCTATTCTTGGGATATGTGATCGCCAGAGCCAGCGCCTCTAGATCCGCTCAAACTATCGCTGAAACCTATGAAGAATGCGTCTTCCGCAGATTTGGGGCTAGCGAGGTGATCCGGCATGATCGGGAGCCAGGTTTTATGTCTGACTTTTTTAAGACCTTCAACAAGATCTTGGGTCAACGGCAACGCACTACTATGGCTTATCGAACTCAGGCTAATGGATCCGCAGGGCGTATGGTCCAGACAACTACCAGGGCTATCAAGATGTATGTGCAGGATCTGGATCAACGGGACTGGGATGAATATGCCGAACGGCTCACCTTCGCGATCAATACTGCAAGAGATCGGATCCGAGGTGAAACCCCTTTCTACATGATACATGAGTGAGATCATAGATCCACTTTGGAAGCGGGTGATCCCGGTGGGGAGCACTCGCAGGCATGATCGAGATCCAAGAAGATGGCGATACCGGATGCAAAAGTACTACCAACAAGCTCGAGAACAAGTGAACCAACGTTTACGCCAAGCGATCGCGGATCGGCCCGACATACATAATGATCTAGTACGTCCTCACCCTGTAGAGTCTGGATCAAGAGTCTGGTTATACCTGGATCGAGTGCGTGAAGGATATGCAAAGAAGCTGGCGCACTTATGGCATGGGCCATTTCGCGTCGCTGAAAAGATCGGGGAATATGCAGTGAGGTTGGAAATCTCAGGATCAACATACAGCATCTTCCCAGTAGTGCATGTGTCGAAGATCAAACTGGTTAAGATATTCCCAGATCGACCTGTAGCTCGCCTAGACGAGTCAGAAGGAGATCGGGTGGACTTCGATGAAGATCTCCTACCCGAAGACAGCTGGATCCAGGATCGCGATCCAGATGAATACGAAGTGGAGCGAATTTCCGATATGAGAACTGGCAAGAAGACTAGATATGGACGGGTCTACCGGGAAGTTTTGGTACATTGGCGTGGATATGAAGATCCAACTTGGGTGAATGAAGCAGATCTCAACTGCGGTGCTCTTCTCAATTAGTTCCTACGAGATCGCACTAATCGCAACCGTTTTGGTGTGATGCAATCTCACGAAGAACCGTGAGATCTGGATCCACACTGGTGAGCTGGTCATCGGTGTGGTTGAAAGACGATGGATCTGCAAGGAGGTTGCAGATCGGAGGACGGGGTTTGCGTGGCTTTGTATATGATGACATGTTGACGGAGGAGCCGTGTGGAAAGAGATTGATTTAGAGATTGACATGGATTGAGCAGGAACGAATCTCGATCATGGATCTAGGACTGTATCACCTGAGAGATTATGGATCAAATGATGGATGACAAGTGTGGAGATATTAGAGTGGAGATTTGTGTGCACTAACGCGATTGGAAATTTGATTAAACCAATAGAGCACTGACGAGCCTAGATCGGAGAAGAAATGACATGTATTACGGTTGACGAAGTGATTCGGAAGAAATGCATGGAGAGGTGTCAGGGTCATGACTGAGGAGGAAAAGGCGGTGCGTTTGGGTTCAAGGCCGCCATATTGAAGAACTTGCCTGCGAGACGCGTGATCCGGCGATCTGGGTGACCTGCATGGTGCAGTCGATAGCGGGTACGCCACGGATTTGCAGCGTCACACTCCGCGAGAGCTTCGATCAGATCCGCAGGCTCGCGACAGCGTAATTGTGGATCCGCAAGGTTGGCACTGCGAGCTTCGATGCCAGGACACTTCATCCGTGCGCTTGGGGAAGTGAAGGAAGTACGGATCCAGCAACAGATCCAGATCACACCAGCCCTCGCGCATAGCGATCAAGAATAGTTGCAAGATCTGCTTCCACCTAGCGCCAGCATGAGACCGACGGTTCTTCCTCTCCACGACAAAGAGCGCCAGATATGGGTCACTGCGGATCAATGCCGGCGAAACTGGGAAACGGGTGTTGACTCCCAGAAAGCGATCAGATCTTGGAACTCCACCGCCGAATATCTCTCGATCGGGAATCCTAAGCGACCGTCGACCGTGATCTCGAACGACAGGGGCTCGGGAATGTTCGCCCAGTAAGGACGTTCCAAGGAAGAGCAGCCATGAGATCGCGGACGTTCTGGCCTGTGATCAAGTGACTGCAATACTGATCTGATCTGTGAGTTGCTACCCGAGGAACGTGACTGGGGAAGATCCACTCAGGGCGAACTGGTAACGCGCAAAACAACACTTCCAAAGTCATAGTCATGATCGTCAGGGTATTGATCCTTTGGATAACCCATGGATCCACGTCAGCAATGTTGTACTGACGGGTCTGTTGGCGGCCAGGAATACACACATGATCAGGAGCAAAATGGCGTTGTGGAAGCATCGTCGAGACAAGAGGCATCCCAGCTGGATCCACAGGAGATCCGCCACCTCCACCACCACTGCCGTTGCTTGAACCATCATCATCGGAATCACCACCTGATCCGGGATCCCCAGCTCCTCCAGCCCCGGTACGATGAGGAGCAGCATGATCGCGACGTCTCTGCTCAGATCTGGACCGGGAAAGAGCCATGAGCATTTGAGCCTGCAGCATGTCATTCAGAGTGGCGTCAACATCGCCGTCGGCCGAAGTGTCGGCCTTTGACCCTTGATCTTCCGCCTTCAGATCCGCGTCATTGGAGGGCTTAGGATCACCAGTCCATCGAGGTTTAGATTTGGACTTGGACTTGGAGGCGGGATCCGAGCTTGCGGGGACGTCAGGATTTTTGGATCCGTCCTTGTCATAGGACAAGTAGCGTGGTTCGGGAGTCGGCACAGGACTTGCTGCTCCACGATCCTTCTCCAAAAGTTCGTCAAGCAAACGGTGGTCTGGATCCGGCGTCTCATCGATGTCTCAGTCTCCACCCATGTCGTAGTCGTCCTGATCCTCTTCGCGATCCAGGTCCTTCTTGTGGTCTTCAGTCATCGGAAGTTTTCTCGTTGGGGGACGATCTGCGCCGCGAGTAGGAGAAGATGCACGAGACCGCTTGCCGGGTGGAAGATCTTGACGCTTGTCATTGGAAGAGGACTCATCAGATCCGTTGGGCGTGGGCGTGTAGTCGGGATCGCGGTCGGGCTGATCTGGATCTGACTTGTCTTGCTCCGAATTACCTTGATCCGACATGTCTTGATCCGAATCTCCTTGATCCGGCTTGTCTTGATCTGGGCTCTCTCGATCCTGCTTCCCTTGATCTGACTTCCCTGGAACTTCAGGGGGACTCTCAGACTGATCTTCAGCTGAGTCGGTGTCGAGGCAAAGTTTGGTAGTGGGAGGGCTTGATCCCATCCCGGCAGCCACAGTGGATAACATCTCGAGTGCCTTCCGCAGTTCGCGTCGCAGATCCGTACGCTCTCGATCAAGACTGGCCAGTCGGCGGTTTAGAGTCAAGATCTTGGCCTTCTGCTCTGTGCTTGAGCGTTCCGCGTTGGCGTATCCTGTCTGAGCCACAGTAACATCACGTTCTGCAAAGAAAGAAAAGAGTCAGTGAGGGAGTATGATCCAGATCCAGGACAAGGAAACGTACTCAGATCTTCGCCCGCGTCGCGATATCCTTTCTCGCGCTTGGCCGCACCGGCGAGATTGTCGCGCAGAACCTCACAGCGCGACTTCTCCCGCTTGAACTCTTCAGTCTTCTCTTGGATCTGACCCCGAAGTGCATCAGCCTCGCGATCCTTAGTCTGGACCTGCGCGTTCAATGCATCGCGCTCTTTGGAGACTTCATCGAAGTGATCTTGGAGGGCGACGCGCTCTGCTGTCTGTTGATCCACCTTGGACTGTAGATCTGATGATGACGGATCTGGCGAAACTATGGCTGCAACTTGTTCAGCGACCAACAGATCCGCCTCGGTCCGATCTAGGGCCAGACACGTACCCCTCGTAACTTCTAATTGATCCGTGGCTTGATCATGGGCGCGATCCGCCGAATTGCGTTGCTCCTGTAGATCCAGGATCTCCGCACCGGCATGTTCTCGTTCCTGCAGCAGCTGAGTGACTTGTGACTCCAGATCTGCGAATCGCCTTTCGAGGGTGTGAACGTGAGCGGCGGACGACTGCGGATCACTGACTACTTGAGCACTGGAGTCGAGCTCAACTTGTAGCGCATCACGATCAGCCCGGAGACCGTTGATCGACTGTTGCATGAAGGAGATCGCTCGATCCTGCTCGTGGATGTAGTCCCGAAGGTCGTCCAGCCGATTTTGGTGCTCCACTGAGGGCGGATCCGAGCCGCGGGGCAAGGTCTGGAGCGCCAGAGCGGCCGTGAGCTCGCCCTCATGTCGGAAGATGCATGTAGCATAACGATGGAGTTCCTCACGTGTGCTGGGGGGATCGAAGGCGGATCCCGGCGATCCCCCACTCGAGGATTCGCTGGGGCTTGGGGCGTTGGACATTTCGGATGATCGGAGATCTGTGACGAGCGAAGAATAAGAAGAAGTGTCTGCAGTGATCCTGTTCGGCAGCAACGACTACAGACAGGAGGCGATTGTGGTGAAGTGGATTCCGAGAAATTACGGACAGGAAGTGATCGGATCAAGTGAAATGACAGGTATGCCTGGATCTGAAATGACCACTGTGGATCCAGATCTGAGAAGGTCTGATGGACTCAGATCAACTGATTCTGAGATGATTGGATCAATCTGGGAGGACCTATTTATAGGTGTCTGATCTGGGTATAGTTATGCCTGATCCAGATATGATTACCCAATGCGAATCAGGATCAAGTAAACAAGGTAAGCATTCGGCGGTATACAGTCAGATCCGAAGATAAGCGGCTGTTGGGGAAGAAATATGTGGATCGAGGTAGTAGAGGATGAGACAAATCAAGATCAAAGGCCTAAGAATAACAGAGAATCGAATTTGCATCATTGGGCACAAGTGGCTGATTTCATTATTTGATCCACACTTAGTGTACTACGGACACCTCGGATCGAGACATATACTGGTTATACAAGGTGATCTCGTATTAAGAATATTGTATTTAGTGTAGTTCGGATAACTGGATAATATATTGGTCAGTTCCAACTACCTAATACTTATTCTATACGTGCAAGCTCCGGATCCACAGCATTCAGTGCTTGGCTGTGAAGATCCATCGATCTCTCAACTCCCCCCATTGGAGGCTGCAAGCAACTCAAAGGGATCGCAAGATCCACAACCACCAACACACCAAGGCAACAACACTGCCGGATCCAAGATCCGCCACCGGTGATCCACGTCGACAGTTCACGTGGACTCCGGATCAACCCACTCGGCAGCAGAGCGAAGACTTTCCGCGCTGTTACCCCACATCCCTGCGTCTCGCCAAGACATTCAAGATCTTCAACACTTGGACCTCTCCTCCAGTTACCGGAGGAGCAAGATCCAGCCCTACTGACGGGTTCACAAGGTGAGGAAGTTCAGCTGATCACGGATCAACAGGAGTACCCCCTCCTATAGTCGGT